AGTAGGGATGGTGACCCAAAAGCCCTTTCCTGTGGGCTGGGAGCAGCGGGAGGGATGGTGGCTGGGAAGCCCCTTCCTCTGGACCAGGAGCAGTGGGACGAAGGCTCAGAAGCCCCTACCTCTGGGCCAGGAACAGCGGGACTCAGTACCTTGGTCTGGTGGTCTGGTATCCTCTGCATCTTTGTAGTGTGGAACCAGGTAGCTGCTGTCTGCAGCAGGGTGATTCGGTGTCTTCCATGTGACTCAGGACCTCGGTAGGGTGTGCACAGACCTTCCTGTGTGCAGTGGGCTGATTCAGCATGTTCTGTGTGACTCGGGACCTCAGTAGGGCATGCACAGACCTGCCTGTCTGCAGCAGGCTGATTCGGCGTGTTCTCCCCTAAGTTTCTTTTTATTTATAGTTTCTACCCCTCTCCCTCTCTGTCCTGTGTATCGTATTTCTTAATTTATTTGTTGAAGAGATCTGTAGTTTCTGCATAGTGCATGTACGTACCCAGCCTTACCCTCTACACACTATTGATCACTGAAAGGAACTAGAACGTCTTGCATTAGCAGCCTGTTCCAAGTATGGGTCGGAACAAGTACAAGATGACTCAGGAGATTTGTGTCATGTCAGAGGAAGGGGAACTGTCAGAGGCATTTTCTAACAGTCTAACGCCAGATGTTTATTGGGAAACTGTGCAGATTCAATGATGACTCTTGGCATCTCAAAGCGAATGTTTTTTCTTTACCCCTTTATCCACAGGGAAGGACTAAAACTGCTTAGATGCAGCATTATTTTTTCCTACTCACGTTCTGGGAAAATAGAAACGTTCATCATCATCATCATGACAGATCATCTTTGTCATTTGTTGCATCTGTTATATCAGATAGTTAAAATGATATAAGAATAAATTTAAGTAAATGCACATTGAATATAATTCAGTGAAAGATGGAAATAATGTATTTCTATAGTGGAGGTAAAGTACAAATATATTGCAATTTTCTACATGTTGTTTTGTTTTTCTCACAACTTCCATTGTGGAAAAATAATGTTTTGTCTTTACTTAAAGACTTTGATAGGGCTGATGATACAGCTCTGTGGTAAAGGCCCTGGATTCAGTCCTCTGTACCAAAAAAATCTTGGTAGGTTTTTCTAAATTTAAGAATATTGTTGAAAGTGTTTCACTCTGTATCAGTCAGCTTTCCATCACTGTAACAAACTACCTGATATATGCACCTTATAAAGTCATTGTGACCCATAGTTTCAGAGTGTTCAGTCCATTGTGGGTTGGTTCATTGCTTTGGGGCCTGTAGTGACAAAAGCAGGTGGTGGAGCAGAACCACTCATCTCATGGACAGGGAGCAAAGAAAGGAAGAGGAAGGGACCAGGATCCCACCATCCCCTTCAAGGGCACACCCTCAACTACCTAAAGACCTCCTAGTAGGTACCACTTTTTAGGGGTTCCATGACTTGCTACTAATGTCTCCCTGAGGACATGTGGGCCTTTGGTGGACCTTCAAGAACCAAACTCTAGCTTTCTGATAAGGATTCACATGACTTTAAAAATCTGCTTTGAATGTTATCATCCTCCAGTAGGCTATAAAAGTCTAAGGTAGTTAAATCATCATTTCAGAATGTCATTATATTGTATACCTAAAATGTACCAATGATTAGAATGAATAATCAATAAAGCAAAATAGGAAGAAAAGGTCCAAAGGGGTAGGGGTAGTGGGAGGGGAACGGGAAAGGAAAGAAGGGAAAGGAAAAATGATGAGAAATGGAAAAATGAAAATAAAGTCTTTGTACATAGGGAAGGATAGAGGGTGTGAAGGGAGGGCTAGGAATGGGGAAAAAATAAGAACCAAGATGCATCATGTAAAGGTACAAGTTCCCAATGAGAAATGTAATTGTGTTGTATACCTAAAATGTACCAATAAAAGAATTTAAGAAAAAATTAAATCATCATTTCAAAGATAGTTTAGTTGCAAAAGTGTCTTTTTCATAAAGATATCGATTGATGGACAGGAGTAGGGCTAGATCTCATCAACAAAGATGAGATACAGAAAGGAAAGGTCACCTCTGATAAGGGAAGAAAGGAGTCCTAGGACATCCAAGTAGAGAGTCACATGTCCTGGTCTTCCTTAAGGCTCAGGTTTTCCAGGCTTAAGGAAACACAAACTAAGGATCTTAAGCAGGTCAATAAAAGTATTCAAAAAGTAGTGAAAGGGACATTGATGATACAAAGGACCACAGTACGAAAACAGAAGACATCTGGATTCCAGATACAATTTCAAGGGAAGTTACAATCTTGTGAATACATTTTTTTTAATTTAAAAGATAAATCATATGGTGATTAAATTAATTTATGAGTAGTCAGCCCTGTGAACTCAAACAACTGTGGATCAAAACTATTTGAAAAAAACATGTACAGACTTTTTTCTTTGTTATTAGTCCCTAGACAATACAGTATAACAACTGTTTACTTAGCATTTGCATTTTATTAGGTATTATGTGTGATCTAGAAATGATTTAAAGTACATGGGAAGATTACATATTTATATGCAAATACTGTGCAATTTTATATCAGGGACTTGAGATCCACAGATTTTGGCACCCATGGGGTTGTCCTAGAACTAATTCCCTGAGAACACCAAGGGACAATGACTATAATTACATGTTTATGAAAAAGATATCAAATCACATTACAACTGTGTGTTTATTACTTTGAATTTTATATGCAATTTCATCCTCCTTTGTCCATTTTCTTCTTACACTCTTGTGTAGTTACAGTGTTCTAACTGTGTCATTGAAAAATTCTGTTTTTGAAAACTTAAGACCACTGAAGAGAAAAGGGTCTTATACTTTTATGTGTTATCCACACACTCAGGGACCCTGGGTAAGTATAATCAGGACATCATCACTCAACAGAATGTCTTAATTACCAGCAGAAAGACTATGAGGAAATAAATAACCTGTTAGATTGTTATTAACATGACAACTGACACAAAGCCTATACAGCAAGAGTTTGGGAAGTCAAAGAATGTGTCACCCAAAATCACAAGACATTTTCATCTTTAGGTGTTGCTGTTCCTTGCCTCTTTACAATTCATGGTCCAAGTAGGGAATGACACATTGTCACAGTTCTTGATCACAGGAACTTATTACAGTATCATTGTGATGAGTGACATTTAACTTATTGTTGTCCATATAACTTACATTATGTTAATCTGCTACTTTCCTCCAGGTGTCATTTTGTATATTCTACTGGTGGGGTATCCTCCCTTCTGGGACGAGGACCAACACAGACTCTACCAGCAAATCAAGGCTGGTGCATATGATGTATGTAATAAATGCTCATGTCTCTTAGATAAAGGTTTGAGTTTTAATTGACCAAGAGCTAAATTTTTCATTGTTCTTTCAACCACAATTTTCAGCAGTTTTCCTTATTTTGCCTTTCACTTACAAAAAGAGAAAGAGAAAGAAATGTAAAATATGTGGTCCACTTTGTATTTGCTTCTAAGGAATTGGAAATCTCTGAGAAAAGACTTTAATTTACTTGTCACAATTTTCAGATTTTAATGTTTTGTTGTTGTTGTTGTTGTTTGGCACTGGGAATTAAACTCAGGACCTTGGGCTTTTGAGGCAGGCAGCAGCACCACTGAGCTAAATCTCTGCCCCTAATGTATTTTTAAATATAAAAGTTAAAAGATTTCTCCTTCAGAAATGATTACTCTTAGTTGTCTCTCACAGTAGTTTTTAATTATATACCAATAATACTTTGCAATGATCCATGTATCAAATATAATAATTTAATTTATAATTAGAATATTTGAAATGAAATGTATATACACACACATACTAATAAATTAGGTCTATAATCTTAACAGGATTTACCTACTTTCTCTTGATAACTTTGTATTCACTGATACAATTTTCTCTCTTTAGATAAATAACTATGTCTTAACAACAGAATTGCTTTCTAAGAAATGCATTGTTAGATGATATTGTCACTGTGCAAGCACCATAGAGTACACTTAAATGAACCTTAATGCTATAAATCAATCACTAAATACAGACACTTGACACAATAGAGAGATGCAGTAGCATGAGATTATGAGGCTGTTGTTGCAGTAAAGATTCGTATTACTTTACAGTAAATATTTTTTAAGAAATGAAAGGAGCGCACACTAAAATAACAATGAAAACATAATAGAGTAAGTGCATAAACCAGTAGCATAGTTGTTAAATATCAATATCAAGTATTGAGCATTGTACATAATTGTATGTATTACCCTTTTGTATGATCGGCAGTGCAGTAGATTCACTTATACCAGCATCACCACAAACATCATCAGTGTATTGTGCTACAATTTTATGGGGGCAGAGACAAACTAGGTAATAGGAATTTTTCAACTTTGTCACAATGTTAAGGAATCACTGTCATGTACTGAGTCCATTGTTGACTTAAAACATCAATTCTACAGAGCATAGCTGTTTCTTTTTTGTTTTCTTTTCTTTTTTTTTTTTTTTTTTTTTTTTT